TAATTATTAATATAATAAGGAAACAAGATTTGGATAATTGGATACATAATATGGTCAATTCTACAATGCCGCGGAAGAAAGTGTGGCACGGGTGCCGCTACTTTCTATTGGACCAAATGGCAACCTAGTGGTATTCGATTATTTATTTAAATAAGCCCAAACCCAATAAAACTCCAAGGCCAAAACCGGCTCATTCCCTTGCAACCGAGCAAGGAATCATTATTGTTTTTTTCCCCCTCTCTCACACATTTTATTCCTTTTGTTTCGCATAAACTTTTCTTCCCAATTTTTATTGTAATAAATTATTTTGATTATAGTTAGTATTTACTTCTTTTAATACACATATTTTATATAATTAACATATTTATTTTCATATTAATACTAAATCTTTTCATTTTCGGATAATTTGTTTGCTCATGTACTAAACATGTATAAAATTTATATAGCACGTTTAATATTTATATTCAATATTTTAAATTGATGATCGTAAAAGAGTATTCAAGTGACTAGTCTGTATTCTTTGGACTTTTCTTTTTCATAGCAAGATTTAACCTTAGTTTGCTAGCGAGAACAAAGCGAAAGGTTATGCAGGATATCGACAAAAAATATTTTTATCCAATCCGCTTGCATTGATCTTTAAAATTATTTATTTTTAATATAACCAATTTCATATATTCTAATACTATTTGCATATTATTATAGGTATAATTAGTTTATGAATGAAATAAAATATTTGTACGTACTTGATACGTAACTTACTCCTACCATATTTTATTAGTTGTGATTTTGACTTTGCCCATGAAAAAAGCAAAGCCCAAAAAAATCTTATCGTATTCCTCGCCCTAACTCTCCATCGTTATAGCAACCAAATGTTTCAACGAACTTTTCAGTCGCCTATCCAATCTTCTATAAAACTTGTTAGATTCAATAGAGGAATCCGCCATGGCACAATGGTCATGTCTCCTGCTGTTGATGGCCCGAATCCTAACATTGCATCGGTCGTGATGATTACGACATCTAACTATGAGCTTTTTCGTGTTGGAATGAGTTGTGTGCCATTCAAAATGTCGAGTCATTGCTTTAGTATCAATGGCGTGCCGCACCTCCTTCTTTGAGCCAAAATGTTGGCCCTTCATAAACCCAGTGAGTGGACCCCATACTGGGACCTCTGGCAGCTCCATGTAGCTGTCGACATACCGATTCTCGTCTGGAATGTGATTGTAGTAGGGGACTGGTACACGATCACGAGCCACCTCATCATCATTCTCTTATTCTGACTCTGGTCTTGAATCATCCGCACCTTCAAGAGGGTCGGAGCTATCTGCACTGACGTTGTTCTCTCCTTCTTCATCGGAGGGGTCACTAACTGGTGTTGGCAGGGCATCTTCCATCTGATCCAGCTCATGAAAGGCACCTTCATCAGCTCCATAATGGTAGTTGTGAAAACTACCGCTGCCTGATTGGAAGTTGTACTCGGGTTGGTTGGCATGGTCCGGTTGAACTTCTTCTTCATATGATGGGAGAGATTGATGATGACCTTCACCTTGCTCTTGGTACTGAAAATAGGAATGAGGATCATGGTAACTTTGGTAGGGATGATCTCCATATAATTCACCTCCACCATGGATACCAGACGTTTGACCGTCTCCAGAATGACCTCCAACGCCTAGGACCGCCTCGGTGTAAACGAACATCTCGGCTTTGGAAAGATTGTTGGACCTCAAGAATTCGAAGATGGCATCTACTTCATCCTGAGTGGTTATGAGATATTCCTCGTGCCACAACGACCCGCCTTCTCTGTTTGGATATCGGTACACCATACGATCAACTCTTCTCGTGCCATCCATGCAAGTAACGTCAGTACACATTTGATAGAGGTCTTCAAGCATCAGTCCGATAGCGACCTTTATTTTCTGAAAATTGCCACCGACGTAGGTGACCCCCTTTTCGGTCTCTTCCGTGTAACCATTCCACCGTAACCCAAGCGTGAACTTTTGGAATGCCATCTGCAAAAAAACCGTAGTTCAGTTAATATCATAAAAATCACAAATCACAAATCACAATAGAAAGTAATACAAAATGAACTTATGAGTTAACGTTAACCGCAAAAACACTAAAGAAGTAGGGAGCTACAACAGAAAATTGAAAAGGGAGAAGGAGAGGTGTGAAGAGAAGAGGTTTCCCGGGGCTGTCTTTTATAGGCAAAATCATCAATGAAAACCGTATGAGGAGGGTGCAGTTTTCATCTGCCATGCAGCCCCACGTCTGTCAACCTGCATGGCAACTTGTCTGATGTCGGAAAAATGGGGACGACACACAAACCGCATGTTGAGGGTGAGGTTTGTTTGGAGAAACAAAACTGCATCCCCAACGTGCGGTTTTGCTAGGTCAGACCAAGAACCGCACCTAGGCCACGCGGTTCTGTTAGGTCAGACACGAAACCGCATGGCCAAGATGCGATTTTGGCCTAGAACCTTAAACCGCACCTTGGGCGTGCGGTTTACATATAAATCGCTCCTTGTGCATGGGGTTCACATTCAAACCGCACCTTGGAGGTGTAGTTTTAAAATAATGGTGCTATTTTTATAATTTCTATGGGCTTGGTGCTATTTTTGTAATTTTTTTTAAAATGTGCTATTTCTGGAAAAATCCCCACTATGAGCAGTGGTGGAGCCAAAATTCGTAAGAACTTGTGTCCTCTTTTCATAATGTAGATATATAAATAAATAATATTTAATAAATATAATTAAAACCAATAATATCCAAATAACCCATTCATAGATAATAAAAATATTAGACTAATACAATCATTATTACACAAGCAATCACGAAGTGTTTTTAAATTCTCAATGTATCTAACTAAGCAATCATTAGCAAATTGGTGGCAATTCGACTTTGAAACTTGTTTTTAATATAACTCAAAGCTGAAAATGTTCTTTCTACACTTGCAGTTGCAACTGAAAAAATCAAAACTAACTTCAGAAGAAAGAGAGATCAATTTTTAGGTATTGTGAATTTTGTTTATAGTATCATAAATTGATTTTTGTTAGCTTTTAAACTTGAAATAACATGTAGTGTAGTAATAAAAAAAAACTTTTATATGACCTAAATGTGATGAGTGCAATCCTAGATCGACACATATAGTTAGAGTATTTTATTTTAATTGCTATGAGTGATTAGTCGACTATTATGTCAATAGTAATAAAATAAATGAAATTAATTTTTTTGAAATAAATTTATAGATAAAGTTTAAATTATTAATTAAATTTAAATATGAATATTAAACGTGTGTGATATGAATTTTATACGTGCTTAGAAGAAATCAATTTTGAACAATAGTAACGAAAAGAAATTTTTAAACCCATAAAACCCATATATTCATATTAGAAGATGTAAATAACTATTATCAAAATAACTAATTAGTAATCAAAATGAAAAATTGGGGATGTACTAATGAAAAGAAAGTTCTCGTCAAAAAAAGAGAGAGAAAAAAAGAGAATTGTACCCAAAAAAAAGTGAGAGAAATGGAACAAAAAAAAAAAAAGGTTCCTTACCTGGTTGCAAAGGAACGAACCGGATTTGGGTTTGCTGGTTGTTGCGGTTAGGCTGATTCACAGAAAGCAACAAACGACCATTTTAGGTTGCCAAGTATTGGCCACATAATATGACTTTGCACGAGCAATAGCCCATTAGCTATGCCTGCTATTTTGGAGCACCTTGTGACCTATCTGGCCCAGACAGGGGCGGACCCAATTGATTTCGGGGTGTATCGGGACATGCATAAATTTTGGGAAAATGATTATCCAACTCTTGGTGCTAATTTACATATGGAAAAAAATTTATTATTAATAGTAGAGGATATCCTTGAAATTTGAAAAAATGATTATCCAACTCTATTTTCTTAGTTTTGCGAATGGAAATATAAGTTGTTGTTTGGATAATTCAAATGTAGGACACTATTATTGTTAATATATAATATATATATATATAGTTTTTATTAGACTACAGCTCATTTCTTGTTCGATTTTAAATACTGTGTAATAGTAAAATGTCACTATTTATCTCTAATTATTTTCAAAACCTAACAATTAAACTAATTTCAAACTATCCTTAATTTGTATTGATTTTATAGTTGTACGACAAGTGTTGAAAGAGTTCTTTTTAGCTTTGGGTTACATCAAGAACAAGTTTAGAAATCGAATATGCGATCAGTTTGTGAATGACTGTTTGGTAGGATATACATAGACAATCTTTTTTTTTAGCAGTTTAGACACCAAATGTATTCTACAATTAGTTTAGAATATGAAAAACACATTGTGAATTTTTTTTTATAACTTGTACGAGTTATGTATTTTCTTATTTAAATTTTTTTTTTTAAAGAGTATACCCCTATATAAAATTTCCGGGTTGGCCACTAGACCCAGAAATCACATTTCTGCATATAATTACAGTCAACCCTAATGTAAGTAGACGACTTTCATGATAGGTATATATCATACATATGTTCATTGATTATCATCGGTAAAGCATACTAATAGCTCCATTCCATTGGTCCAATATATTATTGTTGTTGTTGGAAGGAATAGAATTGGAGACACGGACATGAAGTCGGGTGCTTGGATTTGATACTCCCGGCCGGATCTTTATAGCTACGTGCATTGCATACCTGCGGAACCAAACCCACGTTTAACCACTTAATCTCTACTTTTTCTTTATCTGAAAACTAAATATTTATCTTTTCCTAAAAAAAAAAAAAAGAACTTGAGTATACAAATATATTTCAATGATGCAATAATGAAGGGAAGGAAGAACACAAACAACAACCGGTGGGGGCATGTCTTTGATTTCATGGTAAGCACGTTGAATCAGCGGCCGGAAATTGATGGCAAGGGAATCAATTAATTGATTCATTTCCCCAAATTCCAAATCCTCCTTCCCTCCCTCCCTAAGTCAAACCCATTTTATAATACGCGATCTTGTTCATATCATATTTCCCTTCGAATCCTTCCTTCTACTATATAACACCTACCTATATATACTTGCTTCAATATAATTCCCCCCATTTAATTTCCTCATCAACCAAAATCACCCCATGCCTCCTTCACGCACCAGACTGCCCAGAGTGTGCGGCGGCGGCCGCTCAATTGCTCGGGTCCGATCCCCCACAGTGGTTCGCCGTTCGCCCAAACCCTCCGCCGGTCAGGAGATGGGGTTTCTGAGTGCCGACAAAAGCAGCCGCAGCCGGGCGGCGGCGGTGGGTGATGTCGATGATGATGATATTGAGGGGTTTGGGAACAACAACAACAGCAGCAGCAGCAACAAGGTGATGGTGGTGGTGGATTCCAGTGTGGAAGCCAAAGCAGCTCTGGAATGGGCTCTTTCCCACACTCTTCAGACCCACGACTCCCTCATCCTCCTCTTCGTCGCCAAGCCGCCGCCACCATCTTCTAATAACAGGAGGCAATCCACCGTCCATTCAAACGTTGAGCTCCTCTACTCCATGAAGAACTTGTGCCAGAGGAAAAGGCCCGGGGTGAGTGCTAAACTGCTAATCCCAATTTTACACCACGCCATTCAATTCATGCCTATCTACACATATGGAAAAAAGGCCACGGGTAAGATAACAGATCTCATTCAAATCCTGATGTGTTGTGTATTGTTTGTGACTGTTAATTGCAGGTACAAGTGGAGGTGATCATAAGGGAAGGCGAGAACAGGGGACCAATCATAGTGGAAGAGGCAAAGAGGCAGAGGGTGTCGCTGCTGGTGCTGGGCCACAGAAAACAGAGGGTGATGTGGCGGCTGATACATAGGTTGAAGAGCAGGGTCGGCGGCCGACGCGGCGGCGGCGAGGCGGCTGCGGTGAAGTACTGCATACACAACTCTTCCTGCATGACCATAGCGGTGAGGAGGCAGGGGAAGAAGCTTGGTGGGTATCTCATTACAACCAAGCGTCACAACAACTTCTGGCTTTTAGCTTGACATTCATGTCAATTCCCCCACTTTCTCCACTCATTTTGGCACCAATTGTTCGATTGTAGTGAGATAGGAAGTCATTTGTGGGGGACAGTGCTGTGATGCTTATGAACTGAAAAAACAAACAAACAAAAAAAGTCAATGCAGAATGATGATGTATTGTTCTTTCTGATAAATTCAACTCAATGATGAAGATATAGAACTCATCGAAGTTGAAACCTAGGAATAGAAGAGGAGCAAAGACGCAAGAGATCTTCAAATATCGTATTAGACATTAGGATCAAAAGAGATAGATTTTCTGCATGTTCTGCTCATGAGACAACATGAAAATAAAAGTTGTTTTGTTATTAATCGGAAGGATAAAATCATGGGACAAAGAGAAGAAAAGAATGACTTACATATGTGAATCGATTAACTTTGGACGAATACCAAAAACCATTCAAGTTGAAAGTATATGGTATAGGAAGAGGGATAAAGGAGGGAGATAACCAATCAAACATAGTCTTTAGCAATAGTGTCAGAAACACATTTATTTAGAGTTTCTATTATTATATTAGGTAGGATAATTATAATTATGGTTAGTAGAGAATTAGTCGTATTAGGATTATTATTAGGGTTTTCCAGTATTTTCCTATAAATATGTACTTTGGGTTTACATCATAATCAGTCAAGAACAATATTAAGCAAAGTCTCCTAAACTCTAAACTCTCCTCTCAACTCCTAATTTCTCGTCTCATCCTAGTCCAAGGCCTCGGCCGATTCCCAATTCTATTCTTTCTCATCTAAATCCCGAATTCTTAATCTCAATCACTAAATCCCTAATTATCACGAGTGCCGAAGATCAGTATCGAGAATCCTTATAAGCGGGGTTCTCACAATTGGTATCAGAGCCCGGTTGTGGCACTCGTACCGGAACAATGACGAGATTCGAAGGACCCTCAATCAAAGAACTTGAAAAAGCTCTTAAGACGAAGTTGGAAGCGGCAAGAACGGAGAGGAGTCCGACCCCACCTACACCCGCAATAATCAAACCGTTGATCGCAGAAACGGATTTTGAAGATTGGTTGGAACAACCGGCGTTCCCAATCGAGTTCGAGCAAGGGGAAACCATCGCTGCTGTGAAGGCCGAGAAAGAAGCTGCTGCAGCGCCTGCAGCGACACCACCACCACCGTCGTCGTTAGTTGCTCCTGTAGCCGATGTCGCTGTCGGGAACATCAAACAGCCGCAGCTGTTGGTGATCTCCAACGAGCCGCCGAGGGAAGGAGCAACGACTCCACCATCGACAGCAGTTGCCTCTTTTGAGATAGCACCATCATTGCTGCCTGAAATTACAGGGGCGGTCGTTACTACCACCGCTATTGAAGTCACTGCTGGAGCGCTCAAGAAAAAGAAAGAGGCGACCGGGAGAGGCGCGCCATGCCTGGTAAGCAAATCAGCGCGCCATGATTCTGTACAACAACAAGCTCATCCTTACCCTATGGAAGTTTTTGGAAAGATGACGAATTGGGCAGGACCATTGGTTTTGCTAAAATCCTATTCCCCAAGTTGGAAGGTTAGAAGAAAGCATGAGGTTGGTCCATGGGTAATTAACTGGGGAATTGAAGGTTGTGATGTGGGAGGGCCAAGAGATCGTGAGAAGCCGGAGAGGCGTCAAGAGGAGTTGGATGTTGACGATGGTGCCACGGCGGCCGGTTCTTCAATCATCACCACCGGCGCAGCTTATGGGACGGAGGATTCGCGCTGGCTATCGCATCGTCGGACGGAGTACAGCGCGCTGGAAGTGGACTCGCAATTGACAGAGGCGGCGTCAGTGATTGAGGAAGTGCCGTCGAAGACGACACGGGGAATGGGCGGGATCTCTCGGCGGAGCTATTCGCCGCCGCCCGAGACGGAGCGCCGCGACAGCTTCAACCGACGAGGAAGAGCATCGATGGCTTCGACCGCGCGATGGGCGAAAGCACCAGCAGTCTCCGAAGCACTGGCGGACAACAAGGAGAGGCCAAAAGTGAGGTCGGCATCAAGCTTGCCTCCTCGCCGCGTGATGAATCTCTCGCCGGAGCTGGAATCTAAGAAGAGAGGCGGCGATTTCGGCGGGACTCCAACCGACGAGAAGGAGGCGCCAAAGATTATGGCGGGTTCATGTTGGCCTGATCGTCGCCGGAGGAATCGCTCGTCGGAGGATCCAAAAGCGTCGAGGAAGAAGATGCCGAAGAAGAAGAAGAAGAACGGGTCGGAGCTGCGGCTGGAAGCGCTCTCGAATCTGTTTCGTCGGCTGGGCGGTTCGCCGCCGAGAGAGGAAACGCCGGGAGAAGAGCCACCATCGGGGGAAGAAGCTGCGCGCCGTCAGCTGGGCGGTTCGTCACCGAGGGAGGAGGCGCCGGAGAGAGCGCCGTTGGAGAAGAAGTAGGGCGGCGGTGGCGGCGATTTCCATCCTCCATTAACCCTAGGCCGCGCCTCCAAGCGGCCAGCACAATTGGGCCGAGAGGTGGTTCGGGTCGCTGGGTTGGTTGGGCCAAGGTTAGGGATGGCAACAAAACCCGAACCCACGGGTACCCACCCGACCCAACCCAGTCAATGCGGGTAAAACCCGTGTTGACGGATTTTGGGCCGGGTTCGGGTTTAAACCCGATACACTATTCACCGGGTTGGTTTTGGGTTTAGGTAAACCCGCCCCATTGGTACCCGCCCACACATATAATTACTTTCCCGTATATCTAATATTCTAAATAATATATCTTCTTTAAACAACTAGTATTATTTATGTTTGTGGAGACATGTATAATTTGTTCTTTCTAATTGTTTAGAATTAAGTTGATATTATGAAGTGGAGAGTGAAGAAATTTATTTGACAAGGAAGAAGATTTCAATTAATCTTATTGTTTATAGATGTTTATCTTTAATTTTGAACAATTTGTATTGATCATTTGCGATTTACTTGTATGTTCTAGATTGGTGTTTTTTGTATGAATAATTTGTATGAGAAAATTTATGTTAAACTTGTATTTTGAAAGAAATTTCTTATTGTACATTTTTTACCACAAAAACCCACGGGTACCCATAAACCCGCGGATACCCAGCGGGTTGGGTTGGGTTTGAGTTTTTCAAACCCAACCGGTTTTACCCCGAGTTTTTTTGGCGAATAAACCCATGGGTTTGGGTTTGACAAAACCCGACCCAACCCGACCCATTGCCATCCCTAGCCAAGGTGTTTGGGCCGTGAGTTTGTTAGGGTCGCTGGATTGGTTGGGCCGAAGGCAAACCATCGAAGCAGGCCAATCCAAGAAAGGAGTTTTGTTGGGCTATTGTTGGGCCAAGATGATCTGAAAGAAGGGTTGGAGCTGGGTCTGGCGGACAAACAAGGAAGTTATTATGGGCCTCACATGGGTTGTCTTGTGCAATTTATTTTGCAGGAAGGCAACTTAAAGAGAGAAGAGGATTTGGTCAGTTGGCTTTCAAATGAGCCAAGTCCAAATGAAGTTGGAAAAAAGATAAAAGAATTTAATATTGGTTTGGGCTCTAATTCTTTCTTCCAAGTAATTGTGGGCCGAATCCAAGGTGAGGGAAAAGAAGGCTTGGAGAAGCTAAGGGTCATTTCTACCACCAAATCCATGGAGAAATTCATGGAGCATCATCTCGAAGGCCTCAAGCCAGGGCGTAAAGAAGAGCAGTTCTCTGATTCTTATTTTGTGAATTTCGAATTAGAAGAGGGCGAATTGTTCGGCTATGAAGAACGTGACACATGTCACGTGGGTGGAGAAGAGACAAGGAAAGCAGGAGTTGCGCGAGAAGAGTTCATTCAAGGGATCGGGCGCAATTGGAAACGAAGAAAGCGTAAGGTTAAGGAGGTAGAAGTCAACTACAACCTTGAGGTCAAGGTTGTTTTCAAGGGGGATGGATTGTCAGAAACACATTTATTTAGAGTTTCTATTATTATATTAGGTAGGATAATTATAATTATATTTAGTAGAGATTTAGTCGTATTAGGATTATTATTAGGGTTTTTCAGTATTTCCCTATAAATATGTACTTTGGGTTTACATCATAATCAGTTAAGAACAATATTAAGCAAAGTCTCCTAAACCCTAAACTCTCCTCTCAACTCCTAATTTCTCGTCTCATCCTAGTCCAAGGCCTCGGCCGATTCCCAATTCTATTCTTTCTCATCTAAATCCCGAATTCTTAATCTCAATCCCTAAATCCCTAATTATCACGAGTGTCGAAGATCAGTATCGAGAATCCCTAGAAACGGGGTTCTCACAAATAGAAGCAACAAAATAGATCTTCTGGTAGTTCATCGATATAGGAGAGATAGAACCAATGGGTGATGCCACTGCGGAGGAATCGTGCAAGATAGGCCAGACCCTAACTATTTGATTGAACTCCATTCTATTTTCCATTGACTTATATAGGAGTTGAAATCTTCTACTTGCCCACCTTCTGCAACAATCAAACCATAGTTCTAAGAGATACCAGAAGATTGATTTGCATAGGTGGCCTTTACTGGGAAGTGAATAGGAGCAAACTATAGCATTATTGAGGGAGTTTCACCAGAGCATAGAAAAGGATAAGAAAAAAGATAAAGAGCAAAAATATTATAAATTAAAAAAAAATGCAAGGACTCAACACTAGGGTTTTTGCTTAGCTTGAGCTCAGCTATCAAAAATAATTCAGCTCGAGCTCGGTAAATGCTCATTAACACAGCTTGTCAAGCTGAGTACAAGCTCGGCTCAAGATAAACTCGATTTGAAACCATTCTTGCTGAAAAATGTGTACAAATAAGAACATTAGAAATTAAAAATGATAAAAACAACATTAGAAACTAAAAATAACATCTAACTTCCATACACATCCTTCTTAACAAGATAATTTTCATGTTCAGAAGAGTAATTAATCCTTCCACAAGCTTTAAACAAGTCAGCTCGCAAGCTTAGCTCAACAAGCCACCGAGTCAAGCTAGATCATGAGCTTATCAAGCCGAGCATGGCCTAGCTCAAGCATGGCTCGTTTACTAACGAGCCGGCTCGCGAGCCGGCTTGTTAAACAATGAGTCGAGTGTCGAACGAGTTTTTTCGGATTCGAATGCCGAGTTGCTCATGAGCGGCTTGGCTCATTTGCAGCCCTACTCAACACATAGTAAAAGATATAGTTTCTTCCATGTTAGCCAATTACCAATTTACCCTTAGCAAAAATTTAAGGAGAGAGTAGAAATTTTAAAATGGAGAAAGTTACAAGAAACTCAACTATGAAAATCGATGTATCAAGCACTATAAAAATACTAATGTGAGACTTAGTGGGCTAGCTAATCGTGATAGAAAGCCCTATGGTTTTCAGAGTTTAACTTCGTCTATGGTTTGTATTAAAATAAAGCTACAACAAACATTTTAGTGTAATTGATTATGCTAGTTGTCTTTGTTTGAAGAGGCATTGTTTCAAATTCTGATATTGATATCTTTTTATATGAATTAATAAAAATTGTAAAAACTAAAATGCCCTTCCTACTTTCACTTTCGTTGCAGGAAATTTGAAATGGAGAAAACTATACAAAACTCTACTATATATTATTGGAGAAAACTTTAAAGATAGCTCCTTGTTTGCCTTGGAAGTAGGAACTCATGATATATGCTCTTCAAACCAATTTCAATGTTAGATTAGTGGTTGGGTGATTCAAACGTAATGTGAGATTTGCTAATTAAACTAGCAGAAGAATCGTCCTCGATGAACCCATTCCCTAAGAATTGAACGGAAGTTTCATGTCTTCACTCGAATGGGTTTGGTATAACTTTAAAGGTGTACCACGAATCGGGCTTTTCATTGAGTGGCGCTTATAACTTTACGCTATTTTGATCTATCTATTATTTGGTTTGATTTTTCTTATTTGGTATGTCTTTGAGTCCGCTATGTGACCGTAATGTTTGTGGCTATCGCATTTATCTGGTGAATTCGCAAGAATTGTTATGAAAAAAAAAACCAAAGGTGTACCAGAGATTACCAACTTTTCATAAATTTAGATATAACAATACTAATCACAAACTCTATTTATCTTTTAATTTAGCAACTGAGCGATCAACAATTTATATTTTGTGTCAGAACTATCATTGATAAAATAAGATAATTTCAGAAGCAATCTCTAAGAAAGTTAGACACTTTCATAAGCGATACACACATTGGTAATATACTTCAAAGTTATAGATTGGTAATTTACTTTTATACAAAAAAAAAAAAATACTCTATCCAATACCAATTTCTAAAACACCAACTCATAGTGAATTATAAGTTCACAATATTTAATGTTTTGTCAAATGATCAATATATTTATTTTATTTTTTAACCGAATGATTAATATTAGACCAACCTCCGACAAAAAAGTTAACACTAGTAGTAATTTTTTTTTCCAGAATCCAACTCAGGGTTCGAGTTTTGTTGTCATCCCTAATTGCATGAGTCTTTTGATAGCAATTATTTTGAAATTAAACAATTGTAATTGTTGTTTTTTAGTTTGACGGATCATTACATATTTCGTGTTGGCATATTCTCATTTTGTGCAAAGCTCTCAAAACCCGAACCCTAAAATGCAAACCCTACGCCTTCAATCCTAAAATCCTAAACAGAACCCTAAGCCCTAAACCTTATATCATGAATCATAAACTGAACCCAAAATTCCAAATCCTAAAATCGAACCCCAAACCCTAAACTTGAACCTTAAAACCCTAACCCTCTTTAATTTACAACTATCCTCTTAAATCCTAAGCCCAAACCTTGAACTTGAACTCCAAATCCAAATTCCTAACACAAACCCTGAAAAACAAAAATACAAGTACAATTTAGATATAAATTTAATAAAAAATTAGCCAACTAATGTCGGGACATGTAAAAAATTCATCCCAAATATGTTCGGGACATTTCAAAAAAATTTCCCCTACATGTTTGGTACATATGGAAAACCCATCTCGAACAGGTCGGGGAGATGTCGAAAAACCCGTCCCGAACATGTATGAGACATGTTGAAAATCCGTGTCGTTCGCTTTTTAATTTTAAATGTTTTTTAATCTTTTTTCTCATATTGAGTGTAGCTTTATTTTTATTTTTTTTTTACGTTGTTATTTGGTGTCGTTGTATATGTTTGTTTTAGTGTTTATGTGTTTTGATTTTGAAAGAGAAAAACTAAATTAAGGACATTAAAACAATTTTAATGAAAGTTAGGATGACGAATAAGGTGTTTCGATGCAACTGATGATAATTATAATAATAATAATAATAATGTCCATATTTTAAGATTTACGATTTCTTATTATCATATTAAAAAATACAAAATGATGAAAATCCGTGACAATATGTCTTACCAAACGAACCCGCGCCATAAATCATCCCATTCCCCAAGAGCCCTTTTGCAAAGTTGGAATTGGATGGTAACCGGTAACCGGCGGCAAGGAGAAGATTAAAATCAGTTTATAAAACCGGACAATTGGAGGAAACGGATAATACGTAAGAGGTTGGGAAGGAAATCGAAAAGGGAAGGGCGGTTCTAAATGGGAAACAAATATTGTCATCTGAAGAGGTAAAAAAGCCGTCACCGTCTGCCGCCGCTGCTTGTTCTCAACCAGGAGGAAGCCGGTGCGGAGGGCTTCACGGAACGGAAAAGAATCGAGATTTGCTGCCTTAAATCCGCCATCGATGCTTTAAACTTTGAGGGGCCTTGCCTCCTGACAGTTTTCTCATCGCCAGGGGGCTTCGACAGAGTAGATGACGATGAACAGAAAATCGGAGAAATTTTATGCTGATTTTGTTATGGGAGGGACGGCAGCGGTGGTTTCCAAGTCTGCTGCGGCACCAATCGAGCGTGTGAAGCTTTTGTTGCAGAATCAAGGTGAATTGATTAAGAGAGGGCAGTTGAGAAGACCCTATGTGGGCATTGGGGATTGCTTCAGCCGGGTTTTGAAAGAAGAAGGCTTTTTGTCATTTTGGAGAGGTAACCAGGCCAATGTCATTCGCTATTTCCCAACTCAGGTTTATTTTCATTCCTTACCTCTCCAATCCGTCTTCGGTACTAGCTAGCTGCTGAATCCTTTGGATTCCATGCCTGAATGTGGTTTTATTTATTTTGGTTCATTTAGTTTTTTTTTTTTTTTTGTCAGATAGAGTAGTTTGGCTTCTAAGGAAATTATGGAGGCGATTCAAATCTTAGAAATGTTGACGTGCATTAGCTTTGGGCCCGAGAATTAGGTTACTTGCTTCTACATAGAAAGATTGAACATGTATGTTTTTAGTGCAAAATGAAATTGCTTATCCTGACATTGCTAATTTGTAGTGTCTTGGTACAATGAGAATACTCGGCTTCTGTTTTGGATTCTATTAAAACACACTTGCGATACATACCTAAAAGGTTGCCTACAATGGAGTAATGGTCTGTGCACAGCTTGATTTCGTCAGAAACCTTGTATTTTGTGGTCTCTGCAGAATAGGGATTGCAAATTTAGTTTTCCTTGGGTGTCACTTAAGTTGAGGTTTAGCGTAGATGAATCATCCATGATGTCTAATGTGAATATAGATAAGCGAATTAGGAGGCCTCGTTTTTCTGCCAGTATGAGTTATATGCAATTCATGAGTTACTGGACTCCGAAATCATATTTATTTGCTAGATTAGCTGGGTTGAATCTTCTGCACTCTCTGCATCTGGAGGAGATCGGTGCTCTTGTATCATAGGTGGAGTTGTTAAGATTTCGATAGAAGATTGACTTCAAGGTACATGCCTTAAAGTTGCTAGTCCTTTTCTACAGAATGTCTCCTAACCAAGTCCTGGGTACATAAACACCTCAGTTGAAAATAAGGAGAATCTAGTATTCCACACCATATGCATTTACTTAACCAGGGTGTCATAGGAAGCTTACCTTAAGGGCTTGTAAGGATGGTTTCAATATGCTACGCACTCTGGCAAGAATATGAATCCGAAAATAATCCGTTTGAAATCTCTTGTATTCTGTATTGGGAATAACTGTGTGCTTACTACGCCTTGTTGGCTTCAATAAAGGGGAATAACTGTGTGCTTACTTACTGATATTTTCCAATGCTTAATCTCCTTAGCTGCTGATGTTCACGTCACAATATATTAGTACTAAAACAGAATGCCGGGTTGTCCTCAGGCTTTCAACTTTGCATTTAAAGGTTACTTCAAAAGCTTATTGGGACGGTCGAAGGAGAAAGATGGATACACAAAGTGGTTTATCGGGAATGTCGCTTCAGGTAGTGCTGCTGGAGCCACTACATTGTTGCTTCTCTACCACTTGGATTATGCACGTACCCGTCTGGGGACTGATTCAAGGGGATCCCGTCAGCGCCAGTTCAAAGGATTACTTGATGTGTACAGCAAAACTTGGTCAAGTGACGGCATTGTAGGGTTGTATAGAGGATTTGGGGTTTCAATCATTGGGATAACACTGTATAGAGGCATGTACTTCGGGATCTACGATACCTTGAAGCCAATTGTATTGGTGGGATCCCTGGAGGTAAGCGTTTTCATTCGTACTAATGTGCTTTGGTGTAAGTCTTCGTGTAGCCTTGAATCTTCTCTTTGTTGAATACTGCTTTGTGAAGCTGTAAATGCTTGTTCTTAAACTTTCTGTCATTCTGTGATGACTACATTTTGTCCTAGGGTGCGTTTGTTTTACGATTTTGTTAAAAAATAAGAGTCTCTCAGCAAAAGATAGAAAAAAAGACAACGACAACAATAATATTCGCACCAAAAAAAAAAAAAAACAACCACAACAACAATAATATAATATAATAATAATAATAAGTGAATTTCAGTAGACAAGAATGAAATTGTGTTTGGTTGGGTTTTAGAGAAAAATAGAGACTGCGGGACATGAGATTCTTTTCAATAATAAACAAGTAAACGAATAAAAAGGTAAATAGTTTGTTTAACAGTAAAGGAAGCTTTGATTTTTGGAAATCAATTGTAATGCTTATAATTTTAAAATTGTATTCTTAATTCACAGGGGGAAATGATATGAGATATGAGATATCTTTTAGATTTTGATGATTTTTGGGTTTTAAGGTGAATAGTTGTGGTAAAAAGTTGCACCTGTGTGTTTGTTTTAGCTTTTTAAGCAATTGCTTCTTTTTTCCTTCTTCTTCTTCAAGTTAATGTTTCTTTAAGCCAAAACAAACACATGGTAAATGTATGATAGCACTTTTCAAACCTGAAATTGAATTACTAATGCATTATATGTTCATTTAGTGTCAAGTTAAATTGACTTGTCCATTTGCAGGGAAGCTTTTTAGCCAGTTTCCTGTTAGGGTGGAGCATCACTACCGTCTCAGGGGTCTGTGCATACCCTTTTGACACCGTAAGGCGAAGAATGATGCTAACTTCTGGACAACCAAATAAGTACCGCAATGCTGTACACGCACTGCGTGAGATCGTCCATGTTGAAGGCTTTGCTGCTCTGTTTCGAGGAGTAACTGCAAATATGCTTCTTGGTGTTGCTGGTGCTGGAGTTCTTGCAGGTTACGATCAGCTGCAGAGAGTTGCGCATAAACGTGGCCATATGTTGGACCACCAAGGCCAAACTGTGCTCAAATGAAAACTCAGGTGCGCGCAGACAGCTTCTACTTCCAGATTTGTGTACATCCAGAAACTGGATCTCTTTTTAGGACGAAACCAAGATGCTTTGAGGCCGTGTTCAGAGCAACGAAATAAGATTAATATTATTGGCCGCGTATCTTTTATTGGGTTGCTAGCATCTTTGATAAGTAGATAAAGATTGCCAATTAGGCATCAGTCATGATCATTGCTTTAATAAGATCAGTCAGTCCAGCGATGGAGGAAGAATTGGAAGATGCAAATGGCTAGAGAGGGACGGATCGTTAAAAGTGAGCCGAGGTTTGTAACCATGCCCACTTGGGTGCCAAATATGGTGACAATTTAGTGTTATGGGTATAGGTAGCCCAAGAGGAGGATCTAGGAGTATCAACGTTGGTTCAGTTTGGAAATTTTAGGTTTTAATCAAATGTATAAAAAACAAGGTTGTTAACCCGAGATGAACCTGACTCATTGAGAAAAATAAGTGTGAGATTGGTCAAACCCATCTATATCCCGTCAAAATCCGGTAGAATTGGTCGGGTTGACCAGCTATACGGTTCCCGTGCGGAAATTACCCACCTAATGTCGAGACATGTCGAAAAATTCATCCCAAACATGTTCGGGACATGTCAAAAATTTGTCCCCTACATGTTTGGTACATATAGAAAACCCGTCTCGAACAGGTCGGGGAGATGTTGAAAAACCCGTCCCGAACATGTATGAGATATGTTGAAAATCCATGTCGTTCGCTTTTCAATTTTAAATGTTTTTTTGTCTTTTTTCTCATATTGAGTGTAGTTTATTTTATTTTTTATTTTGTTATTTGGTGTAGTTGTATATGTTTGTTTTAGTGTTTATGTGTTTTGAAAGAGAAAAACTTGATTAAGGAGATTAAAACACTTTTTATAAAAGTTAGGATGACGAATAAGGTGTTTGGATACAACACCTTATTCGTCATGCTATATTATCATACTAGACTAATGCTATAACATCCTACTCCTTGAAACCTTTAAATAATAATTTTGCTCTAGAGCATATTTAAAAAATTTAAAGGAAAAATAACATTGTACTCAAAATATCAATACTGGAAAATAAACTCTCTTAATTCAAAAGCAAACCCTTAACACTTGGGCAAACCTCAAAACATGAAATCTCAATCTTAAATCTCTCTTCACTACTCGTGATCATAAAGTAAATAACTACATCGACAAGTCTCAAATATGAGCTTATTTAGATATGTGGTCAGACATTCTTAGTGGTGCTTGTGTGGACCTTCTTTGGTAGACTGCTATCTCATATTCGAATTCGAGTTTTCCCTATATACATTGAAAAATCTTCAAATTCAGGATTTACTCTACCTGATTATGCCGACTTCGGACGGATATCCACATTGGTCTAGTGTTGCAATGTATTAATTTTCCTTTTGACTTTATCTCACTTGTGTGTCTCTTCCAAGGTGTTCAGCATTGCTCTAAATAGTAGTTTATGTGGGTATTTTGCTAGGAAGAAGGTTTAAGGCATGGGGACCTCATGTTTCCCTCCGCATTGATATAGAGGTTCTCTTTGATTATTATGACAATATATGGTTAAGAATCAGATTCTCTGTCTTCCTAGATGTGAGGTATCTCACATTTATCTGATTTTTGGGGTCAAATGCAATCCATCTAATAGTTTTCTGTATATAAGGTGATATAGGTTTTTACTTTTTTATTAAAGGTATTACTAAATGGATTCAAATATGTGACATTCAGGTTCTAGGTTAGTGGTATTATCATTAGGTCAAATCCTTTTTCGTTCTAATTGCCAATTATTTAGTGTTTGGTTTCAGATTATACAGGGTTCCCCTTTGATGAACATTTTGCTCTTGATTGCAAGCTATGCAGGGAAGATGAAATTAATCTCTTCCATGATTTCTAGTACTCTCCCGTACTTGATGGCTTTGTATCTGTTGCCTTAATTTTTTTAAGGAAATAGAAAATGTGTGTAATGCTTGCCTCTGGTCTACCGATACTGGCTCTTGAGTTAGAGTACTAAAGGCTTGGCATTTGACTGTCAGAGACACAAGATCAGTGTTAAGAAGACGCGATTAATCTCTTGCCTAGACGCAATTAATAGTTGGGCAGGAGGAAATTGCCTCGTCTAGCTTTGGGAGATTGATCTAGGCACCTAGGCATCCGGAGTTGCGTTTTCACTCTGGTCAGCGACGCCCAGAACAACTAATTAAGGGGAAAGTGTAGCATTTTTGTGAAAATCTCTATTTCCCATTTCCATTCAACCAGCCGCTCCCCCTCATCGGCCAGCAGTGAGATCCCTCCTCATGGTTGGCGACTTGTGATGTTTGGGATTGTGGAAAAGGGTTTTATGTGTATATGAGTGGATGAATAATGATATGACGACTTGGATTTTTGTGGAATATGGCTTATCTATCATATTTTTTTCAACGTTTAATCTCATCTAGGCAACGACTAATCGGACTGGGCGCTGGGCGGTGCCTCCTCACCTAGATAGCGCCTAGCGTCTTCTTGAACATTGCATAAGATTGAGGGGGATTGGGAGTGAAAGACTTTAAGATGTGGAAGAAGCCTTGCGTTATTAGACATATACAAAGTATTTTGTCATAGGGAGGGTCGCTTTGGGTGGCCTGGATCAGAAGATACAAAGGAAGGTTTTGAAGTGTGAGAATAGGCCTCTCCCGCTATAGCATTATTTTTTGATTAGTCTTGTATACGATAAAGGATAAGCTGGTTAAATGGGGAGAACCAACTGTTTCTGTAAGATGTGCCCCCATGGGTTGTAGAGTAGGGAGCATATGTTTGTTCATAGTTGTTAAAACAAAGTCGGACTAGTCGGTAAGACATGTAAAACCGGAACCCAGCCACCAATTCAGCTGGGAGGTGTCATGACCGACCTTCTAATAAAAAATTTAGGGGTGTGCAAATGATTACTATGGTAATTAGTAATTACTAAACCAAATTAGACGAAATTTTATTAACAATGGAATACAATATCATAACCAAACCGTTCAAACTAATACAACAACCAAATTAACCAAACTAAAATTTATTTGGTTTGGTTAATTGGTTAACCAATATAACATCACATTATCATTAAGTGAGAAAAATTCCGGTTAGTGCATTAATTCTGAATTTATATATTGAATAACACATAACAATCAATACATAATTATAGTTAACTGTTAACATTAATACATGTAATAACTACAATGATCTTACATTTGACTCTTTAGTGGTTATGTAAAGTATTAAGTATGTGTATATAATATATATTAGATATATGACTAATTACTTAACTGGTTAATTTGGTTTTATTGGTTATGAGTGTCTAATACCAAACAAGCTAACAACTTTAACCAAACCAGATCAATTATCCAAATTAATCAAATCAAATTATCCAAATACTACCACTTAAAATGATTACCACGATAACCACTCTGTTTGAACACCCCTAATAAAATCCACCTTCAATGCCTTGACTCCCAGTCCCAGCTCGTTCCCTTTTATATTCACGTGTCAAATCAAATCAAATATCAAATCAAACAATACACATATGGAGGTTCTTCTCCAACACCTCTTAATTCAATTTTTCTCGGCTCCAGTGCAGACCACGGAGGAGTCTTTTGGTCGTTTCCATTTTAACTTTTATGGGCTTAAGAGCACGGTAATCCAGGGCAATCTAACTAATAATTGTGTTATGTATATGGGCTTTGATTGTGATATCTGGATGGCAAAACATGGGTTGGAATTATCTCATTTCAAATTTTGTGGTCTAAGAGTGATTCTAGGAAGGTCATTTTTGTCATTGCACTCACTTCATCTTTATATATTAAAAATGTTATCATTAGAGTTTGAACCCCAACCACTTAAATGAAGAACGAGCATTATAACCAACTAGACTAAATTGTGTTTATTGTTATTTCTTTTATTAAACTCTAGGAATATGTTTGGTGATGATGCTTCTATATTTATAGTTTATCTTAAGTTATTTATATTTTATAGAAAGACATTAGTTCTGAATCAGAAACTCAAGTAACATTGATTCAAACATTAATATTAAATTGTATGTTTAGATTAATTTAGTTTAGTTTAGACAAAATACATAAGTGTAACCAAAACATGGACCTTTGTAACGAGTATAGTCATTTTTTTGACCAAATTTACACATTATATAATGATAAAATTGGAAAAGGGGAGTCTCCTTTTAAATTTCGTGGTCCGCGAGTGATTCTACGAACCTCTTTTTCATCATAGCGCCAAATTTATCTTTATATAATCTGCAAATTCGTAACAAAAAATTACTATATATGTGACGAAGATCCATATTTTGGCTACACACATGTATTTTATCTAAACTATACCACACATACAATTTAATATTTAATGTTTGAATAAATATTACTTGAGTTTCGATTTCACAATTAATCACTTTCTATAAGATATAATAATTTGGTTTATCTTCTTGAATAGTAAGCATACACTTAGCGAAGATTTGAAAAGCATAGGAATTTTCCATCACGGTTATCTAGCCTATTAAGTCTTTTGAAAAGAAAAGTTTAATACTTGATTTATAATTTTTTTATAACCTAAAAAATGATGGGTAATTTTAAAATTGCAACACAAATTTCAATGCTTGAAATATTGCATATCGAATTGCAGTATTGAATATGCAAAAGATATGTAGAATTCTTTAAATTAATATAATTTTTCAGAACTACTACGAAACAATAATATTTTGTACATATTATAGGTGACTGGTTCTCTAATTTTAGCCTGGTTAATTGCTAAACATTAAACCTCTTGCTAATCTGGCATGAATGGACTCGACAATAATGAGACGATATTGGGTTTAATGTGATGTTCATTAGCCATTTTTGGATGTGTTGATCAATTTAAGGGCATTAACATATAAATGAGTTATAATTAACCTCATTATACAATTTTTACACTTTATAATAAATAATTTAATCTTAATATTTGTGATGTT